AACAAAGGTATAATGTATTATCTTAATATGTTTTAATGGTTATCTGTGTTGATGTTTTTCACATTTGAATTGATTTTTATCTAGGTTTTTATTTAAAAAATTTACTATAAATCATAAAATATCAGTAGGGGACAATAGTAACATTGATACCTGGGGTCAGGTGTAACGTTACAATTGTAACCGAACTTACTGATTTAATTTTAGTATTGTAAAAAAAAATGTATATATAATAATAATATATATAATATAATATAATAATATATAGTATATAAATTCACACGCAATTATTTAGAAGCACCCGTGATCCAGCAGCTTAGACCGCTGTGGCATTGTTCTCATTCGGTTTTAATAACTTTTCCTTTTTAACTATATAAGATTCAGATCAACTAAACAATTAATAAACTGATCTGCATTGATGTAAAAGTTGCATTTTAGTATACATATGCTTGTAAAATTATAATGATGAAAAGGAAAGTTACTCTCATTTTGACTAATGGAACACTATACAACTAATATAATTAACAAACTATACGAACTTTGTTATGGTTGATAATAAAAATTGGCAGATATTTATATAACGGAAATCCCTCAATTAAACGCGATAGCCTTGCAGTAATTAGAATATTTAGAGCCACGCCGTATATAGTGCCTGGAGCATTTAGGCGATGATTTATAAGCCACGCTAAGACACAAGTATATATATATGCGAGAAAACGCGTGCACATACATGCCGCTGCACGCACCCACGAGTCTTTGTTGAAGAGTGTAAGCACTTTCGAAGAGTGGAAACTATAAAGTATAAACAATAAAACAATCAGATGGTGATGGTATGGCGATAAATCACGGTGGACACTGCTATCTGCAGTGGCTGCAAAGGGTAACGCGCCGCGACGTAGCCTTCGATAAATTTAGCTATTGTCGTGCCTAGAGGATATATTAAATCTCGTTAAAATGTCTTTATGAAACCGCAGTGCCATGGATTATGAAAAGATAGAGGAAGAGAGTGAGAGGCAAGAGATAGGAAGAAGAGATAGGAGGGGGAGAGAGAGAGAGAGCGCAATGGAGCTGTGCCCATCGTTCAAAACGACAATTTTGCTTCTATTTATCGTCATCTCTGTTGATTCAGCTCATCTCCAATTGCTATCAGAAATGATGAGAATAAAAGTAGATTTTTATACGACATAGTCTTTTTACGAAAGTAAATACCGAGGAAATAAGGTGTGATTTCTATATCCAAGTTTCAATACAATAAATATTAGCGATAAAGTGGAATGGCAGTTGGTAACAATTAATATTAAATGGAAAATTATGTATGAACTTCAAACACACACACACACACACACACACACACACACACACACACACACAGATTTAACCCGAGTTGGGAAAGTTTCTTTTTTATTGCCTTATATATTTGTTTTATAGAAATTGAGTATAAAAGTAACACAAAATTGAAGCGAGTGATAAAATATAATATAAAAAATAAAATACCCGAACTCTAGTTGTACTCAGTTTCTATAATAAAAAGTAACTTGTGAGTAACTTGTAAGGTAACTTTTCCAACCCTGCCGATTAATAATTGAACGTCTATCATTTCAAGATATTCGTTGCTTCGGCGGATGCAACCGACGTATTTCTTCCGTCACTTTCCATACGGAGATTCAAACACCTACGTGCGAATGCTCGGACTAGAACAATGGCATCCTCGAATGCGGCTCTACCGTGATTATTGTAATGACGGTACCGTCCGCAAACACTTGAATGATATAATTCGTAACCCCACGCCACGGTGAGAATAACGATGCCACAGTGCTAACCACCGTAATTTATTTTCGCGCTTTCTTTCCAACGCGGCGATTTCAACAATATTTTTCGCGTAAACACTTGCCTCCGGAACACACAACGACTTTCACGATTTATTATCGGAATGAGTCTTTGAACATTGACACATATGTACCATTGATATTCGATAGTGGCTAACGTAACTTTGTTGAAGACACACACGTCTTTCACTATCATATATTTAATATTTTATCGTTTGAAATTTTAATTATGTATAACAAATATAATTTAATTCTTTATTGGATAGATACGGAATAGATTTTTTTGGAAGATATAGACGAAATAAAAATATAACCGAGAGTTTTATAACAGGTGAACCGATCGAAATCTCAGAAAACGAACTTATTTCATATTTGATTAGGATTCTACTTTTTGCCGCTCATTCATTCCTGACCACCATCGTAGAGGGTCAATATTATCACACGCGCTCAGAATGCCGACAGAGAGACCGTTTGTCACTCCTCGCCCATTGAATGCCTTGTCCTTCGATCGTAGTTCCATTTAAGATTGGGCCTGACATCGGTACATTTACCATTGAATCCACTTGCATCTCCGATAAACATATATTTACTCATGTCCGCCCTTTCCAGGTAAAAGCTCGCTTCTTCGCCATTTGAATATACTCGAAGCTTCGGTGAATCTATTTGCATCTTCTTTTAGATAAAAGGAACACTCCCTAAAATAGTGAAGTCTCTCTCTCTCTCTCTCTCTCTCTCGAATGTCACTTCTCTTGTTTTTATCTGTGTAATGTTCCATTATGGATAAAATATGTATATGAAATAAATGAATACGTACATATATGTGAAATATACACTGTTAGATATCAAAGAATCAATAGTAATCAAATTTAAATTTATATTTTCTTATTTTTACCTTCCATGTCTGCCAAAATACAAATCAATTCATCTCTGCACTGCAAAAAAATAAAACACACAAAAATGTTAATTTTAACATTTTACATGCCTCAGAAAATCCATTCAACGTCTTTGAGTTAAAATTAACATTTTATTTGTTACAGTGTATGCATTTAGTAAATAATAGACTAAAAAAGTTAAATTTAATACACTTTCTTGAATTAAATCAGTTAATTCTACTGTCGCAGTTAAATTATTGCTAAATTAAATAGGAGCTGTAACGATTTAGAAATAATAAATTTTAAAAATAACAAATTAAGCATAATTTGACATTATGATTTAATAGTAGGAATCTGCGTGCAACATATTATCTATAAAATGTATATATTTTATTGACGCGTGATTAGATTTACAAATTTTTTTTTGTCTGGTTTAAAACGTATATATACATTTATTCCATGATCTTATCTAGGAAGCAAAAATTAATGCGCACAGAAAATGAGTATACGCAAGTCGATGCTCGCCGTGTCTGAGAGTCGCGCGCGAGACATTTATCGGGAGGTCGAGTTAGTTTCAGACGAGGAAAAAATATGGAGTGTCCATCTCTTTTTTTTAACGATGGCCATTTCCGTTCCCAGTAATGTGACTTGTACATTTTTATGCCGGCTCCGGTGCAATGGGCACAACCGTAAAACACTTATGACACCCGTAGCATAATAATGTTACTTGATAGCCGCTATCTTGGTGTATATAACTCATCGCATTCGCCATTTTCCTAATTAATGTTTAATGCCTCGCTATCTTCCCTTCCTCTTCACGATTAAACTTGCATGGTTGATATCACATATTATCAACAAATTTCGCGACTTTTTATTCCATTTAAATAACACGAATTACAATTAACATCGACTGTGAAACTTTCATGCGATGTTAAGTTGACGCAAATATGAATCGGAAGGTAGAGAGAGTAGGAAAAATTTGCACAGTTTGCAACGTATAAAAATATTATAGTAAAGAATAGAGTCAATCATTATAGTAAAGAATTATCAATCGATTTTGTAATATGATTTATCGCGTTTTATTTTTTCAAGTGATAAGAATAATATGTTGTGCATTGCGCATATCTTTATACCTGATATGAATATATGCGTCTAATATGAAGTAGAATTTTATGTTGAATAAAATAAATTCTATAACTTTTGTATTCTTTGACGATTTCAGTATCAGGAGGAGAAGTCGGAAGACGAATCAGAGATGGATGATGAACAAGACGAAGAAGACATACTCTCACCGCCACTTCAAGTCAATCCACAAGCCTTGGATGCAGCTAGTGCATCTTCATTAGCACATTTGAGCACTTTAATGAACGCGCATCATCCGCAGTTACTAGCAAAGTTTAGAGTGGAGGTTAGTAAGAGAAGTCTCTTCATTCGTTTTTTCTTATTCTTACCTATACATTTTAATCTATCGCTCGCGTCACATCTCTTGAAGTATGTAACTATGGTTTCACGTTTTGCTGAGTATTCTCCTGTTGACGCGCGAGCCAACAAGAGAAAACACATGCAGATTAAAAAAAATAGTCGTATTGTCAAGAGTTCCCTATCGTTTGCCCTGCTGAGTTTCCGTGAAGATAAGCAGTCGCATAATTCGTCATAAAACTTGCTCGGCAGGCTTGAGCGTTCGTTGACCTACAAAAGTGCCAAGGTAGAATGACACGAATCGTAGAAAATCGTGAGATAGGACGTAACAATAGACGTTGACAGTCATAAATGAATTGTCACCGTGACAATAGATTCATTTTTTTATTACGCAACAGTCTAAACCGGATGACAAATCTGGACAAGCGCAAGTATCTTTACGATCGGCATTCTGATAAGAGATCGCATTACGCACAATAGAGTATTCGTCAGCGCATGTAGCGCGAAAATTAAGAGAATGCAAATCTCTCGCAAAGTTGGAAAGTTTTAGTAAAGATAATTGATGCTTTACATTGCACTTCTCACAGTAAATTGTATTTCTCTTGTATTTCTTAGTAAAAGTTAATTATCAGTTTTTTAAAACGATAGAAAAAACTTTGTACCGTTTTCCTTAATTAATGATAAAGAGATCCCGATGTCAGTTAATTATTCGATAAAAATATTGTTTTTATCATTCGATATTCGCACGATTTTAATTAATCTCCTCTTTAATGGTTTTTTTTTTGTAGAATAATGCTGAGGCGGCAGATATATTACATGGTAGAAATAGTTTGGAGGTTCTACAGGCTGCAATGTCCACTACCGGTTCCTTCAGTAGCTTGTTTCCACCTATATATATGTCGCCACCACCACCACCACCATCATTACCATCACAATTGTCGCAAAACAACCATTCGCAAATCGCGGGAAGTCTTGGGAATCAAGTCGCAGAAAATCAAGCGTTGGCTTGCACGACTACTACATCTTCCAGACCCGCTTCTACCTCGCAGTCCAACGAATCCTCACCATCTCGCTGCCGGAATAATAACGTAGAGTCGCAAGGAAACTCCAGGAACGGAGAAGCTCGTGAGGGTGAAGCTCGTGCGGCATCAGTAAATAGTCAACATCCACCTGGAAATAATTGGAGCTTCGAAGAACAATTCAGACAGGTGCGTCAGGCAAATACCTAGCAAGTACGTACGTACGCCTTCCTCAGCTTGTCAGGAATGATCGTGCGCTATATCGCCGCGTTTTAGGCAACTAACAACACTTAACGTACCGTTTTGATTGTCTTTTTCCAATTTTTTCTCTCTTTTTTACTCTCAGTTTAATCAAACTCACGAAAACAATAACATACCAGTCTTTCTGAATTACGTACAACTGCAGAGAAGAGGAAAATTTATACGCTTAATACTCTTTCGCTTGATGCTTTGTGTAAAGCGTTGAAAATGATTAGCTTCTACATCTCGATGTGCTTACGATTATTTCTCTCGAAATCGAATGATTTGTAAGGTGTACGTTTCGAAATAAATTTTGCAAAATACAGCGAGAGTAGCGACTCGAACGGTCTGATGATATCCGGGAGTGTAGCATCGGCTGCGGGCACATAGCGGGCTTGGCGCGGCGCGGCGGCGCGGTGTGGCGTGCCATGCCATGCCATGCTGCGGCATGGCGCGATCGCGCGAACCCAAGTCGAGTGTCGTGGGCGTGAACAACTTGCGCGGTCACCTTTGTGGGACACTGGTTAGTGCCGCGAGGGACGTGTAATTACGGCGGAACTCTCCCCTTGCGAAAGGGTGGGGCGAGGAGATGGTGAACCGGGAGAAAGAGAGGCGCTTTAATTAATGCAACGATGGAAGCTAATTATTATTTTTACACAGCCGAGAGATAATTACCGGCCGACCGTCCCCGAACGGCGAGTTCGTTGACGGTATTTCGTGGCAAGAACGAGAGACGATCGGCTCGACACTGCGAGAAAGGAAGGGAGGAAGGAAGGAACATTTCGGAGCCTGTTGGATGGTGCTATTCATAAGACACATAGAAAGGAGGCTGCGCGCGAGGGGGGATGAGAGTAAAGTTATAGAATTAGCTGGACTGGCATCGCAGCCTTGTTAACGCTTTTTGCAGTGACTCGCCCTGCACTCCGCTTGCGTGGATGCATTTTTGCCATATGGAGTATGAAATGGTACGGCGATCCGGCCGGTCGTCCCGTACCTCCGCGGTTTTCGGTTTTTGCAAAGAGGGTGTGGTATTGAATTACCATTTAAATTGTTGTTCGCGCGCGTGAGCTCGCAAAACGCCCGATATCCTTTCACGTGTGACAAACCTGCCTTCGAAGAGATTCGCGTTGCAATTTTAAAAACTAATCTGACCGCGATTTACGTATTACAAATATGATACGATGATACCCGAAGATGTGATTGTGGTAAATCTATAAAATTCGGTGTAAAATGACGCCTGTATGATTCTCTAAAAGAACTATATTTCGTTCTAAAGAAAAAGGGCGATTCTTTTGCTTATTAACGGAGCGTCGGCGTAATGGCGGTATCATCGATTAAAGCGTACAACAAGCGGACGAACACGGATAAACGGCGCGCGAAAGACGAACGGGTATAGGGAAACGAGAAACAACGTGCGCGGGGGAATGGAAATAGAAGTCTCCACCTACTTGGCGAACGGCGCTCGCATCTCAGGGATCGCATCCATCATTCCGGCGAGGGCGTACAAGCTGCTCTTTAATCTTTCTTCTTCGGGGTGATGGTGGTTTCGTCTGTTTTACTCTTCCTTCGTATCTTTTTTTTTTTCCCTTTTTTCCGAGGTGTCGGTAATCGTTCGCGTACCGCGCTCTCTCGCTCCGCGCGTCTGTTCCATATCTCGGGGTCGCGCAGTTTTCAGCGCAGATCGCGTCGTTTTACGCTTCTATTCAAGAACGAAATCGCGCGACGCTCCTGCGCGGTTGTCTTCCCATCAAGATTCGAAGGAGGTTTAAAGATGCTTTTAGAACCAGACTCGGCTAACTTGGGAAAATAAAAGCGCCCGACCTCCGGACAGGTTTATAGTCAGTTGGTTATTGTCTTGAAATAGGGTAAGCAGAGGCGGGGACGGGGCCAAGTACTCCGAAGTACGTCGCGTACCATCCGACCTATCGGGGGAGGGGAGGGCTTGTTTCAGTAAAACAACGATTGCACCTATCGTATACACAAAGTAGTCCACCACCCGACGGTGATACTCGACACGAACAACAACGCACGAGAGAACCTCCTTCCCCCATCTCGCCCCGCGCGTACGCTCACACGCACCCACACGCGCGCATTCTACCCCGTGCAACAACGTTCGCTGACCGTGCACTCGAGCTACCACGGCAGTATAATACTGTAGGACTATACTTTGCAGCCATTGTGAAATAACTCGTAAACCTCGCAAATTGCCAGCTATTTCGCTCTTATACACGCGTGCACATACCTTTTACGCTGTATTCCGTTTCTGTGTGTACTGCGTGTTCGACCGTAGATCGAGAAGGTTGACTGCTCTTCTATGAGCGTATGTATTCGCGCGCGTAAACCGAGTGTGCAGGACGCTTATATACGCGCGAAGATCGCGCAACTCGGTACGCAAGACGGCCACAAATTCATCCAAATTTTTCACAATTTTTTGCTCTACAAACATTTGCCTTGATAAACGTATTCAATCACAATTGATTAAAAGAAAAGTTCTTTTCGTGATTTGAATTGGAAAAATCAAAATTTTAACTTTGAATTAATTTTTCGTTTATTTTTTTTTATTTTTTCAATAGAAAATGTTAAATCGAGACTTGATTATTATTAAGATATTTAATACGTTTATTGCCATTCAGTAGTCCTTTATGATTATAATCTAATTTTTTAATGGTGTCGAGATGTTAAAAGAGTATTTTTTTGTAATTCTCTTGTAAAAAATTCTTTTGTAAAAAAAAAAAAGTGCATTATTCGAAATAACATAATCACAGAATAGTAGATCAGATAGTTAAAGATTCTCACTCATTTCTTTATATCTTGACTTGAAAGAAAGAGACATAACCCAACCCAGTTACCAAAATCACCCTGTATAGGGCACAGATATAAAATTAGGATACTTTGAACATGCGACGACGAGACTGACGATGACGAACGCGCGCATTAGGGCACAGATATAAAATTAGGATACTTTGAACATGCGACGACGAGACTGACGATGACGAACGTCATCGCGTACTGGATTGCCCTCGAGTTATCATAATGATTATGCAAATGCATTATCATTATGCAAATGTAGCGGGGCACCTAAAAAACTCAGAATGCGATCCGTCGTCGTCGCTGCTGTCGTTGTTGGCGCGCTTAACGTGGGACGTAGACGGATACGGTCCTTTGTAATTTCGACAAACAACGCGGTTTTTTACCTAAGCTCGAATCTCCGCATTTTCTTCGTGAATCACTTGGGGAGAAGAAGAGAGGATCGCACATATTATAAAGTTACTTTTATTAATAATACAATGTTATTGTTATTTCTGATTTATTCTACTCTTATTCGTATGTCTATCTACATATAATTGAATAAAATTAATAAATTAGTAATTGTGCGGGTGAATATTTGCAACTCTTTTCCGATCTTCGAGATAAATCTCCAATTAGAAAAATCATTAATACATATGTAGTGCAATAAATCAATGTTAAAATTTCAGCTACATAGGAAATAATTTACGACGTAATTCCTAATTGCCGTAACGCGCCGTCACACGATTCGCCAGTACGTTGCCGTCTGTTTCCAGTCTAATTAAATCATAGCGTCAGAGATCGCATCGCGTCGTGCGCTACAGTAGTGTTGCACGGTCTGACCGAGAAGATTTCTCTCTCTCTCTCTCTCTCTCTCCTTCACTCGTGCGAATCTTTCGAATTGGCGAGACGTATAGCGGACGCGTGCATCGTCGTGCGGTTGCACGCGTGGTCGAATAACGCGACCGGGTGTCTCTGAAATAGCGCAATTAAGCAAATGACGCATCCTACACGTGCCTGCGCTCTTTATCTCCCTTCCCCGCTTCTTCGTATATACTTTATCGTTTACTCCTTCGTATACTTTATCGGTTTGCTGTCGCATTTTTAAAAGAAAAAAAAAAAAAAAAAGAAAAAAATTCCTGCCGTCAGTACAAAAAGAATTCACCATCGAATAATTTGTATTAATTTTTACATCAGATGGTGACAAGTTATTTTTCTGTAATCTGATATTTTCTTCCGATAAACCTCTCTCTGGTTCTTCGCGCGCCAGCACCTGCGTTCCCGTATGCGAAATAACCGCATAACGATAAATAGTTTCCGCAATACCGGAAATATTGGGACACTGTATAATTAGGAAGTTATCGTGTCCTCGATCGGTTTTTCCGTTTACCGTATCGAACGTCGCATCGTTCTCGCGCGACAGAACACACTCGCGATCGACCGACAATCTTTTCGATAATTCTAATAATTTCCATCCTTCGTGCACAAGATTGGCAAAGCGAGCCACGCGCGTTTCCGCGTCCATACGCACTGATAAATAAAAATAAAGCCACAAAGCGGCAGATGCATTTAATCCGTGCGCGCGACATAAAAGCTGGACGCACGAGTTGACGGATGAGTGAAAGCGAAACGATGACTATACCTATATGAGACGTAACGTGCACATGCAAGTAACGTCGATACGCAAACGGTACGACCGCGAATGTTACGCGGTATACCGATGCAATGAGGGCAAGTGCGTGCAAGTGCCGGGCGACACCGTTATTGCGCTCTCGGTGCAACCGTCACTTTTCGGCAGCTGCCCAAACCTTTTCGCACGCGCCTCTCACCATTATATATAATTTTCGCTGAGATAGGCGCGAAAAGGACAAGGGTCGCTCGCGCTTTCGTTTTGGCCCGCACGGCATTTATGCGACCATTTAACGAAGAGACGCGCCGCGTCCTGTCCGTTACAATGCTTTTCCATAAGTAAAAACTTTGCACCTTGTATTTATGTGCGAAATAATCGCGGAAGCATCGGTACGCCGCGCATCGACGTTACCTGTAGAATGCTCTCCTTTCTGAAATATTGAAGTCTTTGTTGTCGGGAGATTTCGACAGATAGGACGAGAAACAAAGACGATCACTCTTCTTTCTCTCTCTCTTTTCTCTATCTCTCTTCCTTCCCCTCT